CGATGGCGCCTTCGCGCCCGGCTCGGTGAGCGCCAGGTTCCAGCCCCACTCGTCCATAAAGCTGTAGACTGCCTGCGCGTCGGGGGGCGAGAAGAAGGGGCATGAGGTAGAAGAAGGAAGAGGAGGAGGAGGAGGAGGAGGAGGAGGAGGAGGAGGAGGAGGAGAGGAGGAGGAGGAGGAGGAGGAGGAGGAGGAGGAGGGAGGAGGAGAAGGAAAGATGAGCAGGGAGGGGGTGTAGAGTTGTATTGTAGATCGCGCTCAACGCAGGCGCCATTATAAGAGTTCGCCTTCGTCCGACTCTGGATGGGAGTCCTCCCCCGAACCGTCGCAACGGGCTCGCTTTCCCAGGGCTGCACACGGGGCAGATCGCCCGCGAGAAACCAACCACCTGCAGCACAATCTCCCTCGAAGCAAATCCAGCCGTGGCGTGCAAGCTGGAGGCTACTGAGGCCCCCTGCGCCCAAAGGAGCGGCGACAAAACTGCCTGACGCAGCGTCTCCCCGTCCTGGTTGGACAGAGGACCTGGGAAGCTGAGGACCAGGTCGCGGGCGGCCGTTCTGTAATGGGGATGCTTCCCCTTCTTGACGCGGCCAGGCTGGGACTTGATGCCCGCGCTGGCAGGTACACCTTCGCACCTCGGGCGCAGCATCGACCCAGGCTTCAAGCACATGCAGTCGGCCCCGACGTGACAGCAGAAGGCCAACCAGTGCCCCTGGGCTCGAGGGGACTCGACGGAGCACGTGACAAGGCCACGGCCCCGGGCGTAAAAAGACCCGGGCGCCACCTCAGGTCGAAGAAACGCATGCTTCCCCCCCCCCCGTCGAAAGCGGCCTGTCCCCCCTGTCTCCGACGGACACCTCCTCTTGGGGGCTGGGCCGGGTTGCCTGGCCCAGCCCCGCAGCCTAACCCAAAAGTGCCGGGTCGCGGGGAGCTCGGGGGGCGACACGACAGGCCTCCGAGGGCGCCCGCTCTCTGCCCCGCCTCTCGCGCCAGCTCGCGGAACCCCCGCACGAAGTCGGCGTGGGTCTGCGAAGCACCATGCAGCACAGCGCCACCCTTCGCACAGGCTGGGCCGGGTCGCCTGACCCCGCCCCGCGGCCTAACCCAACGGTGCCCCGTCGCGGGGAGTTGGAGGGGGCGACACTGAAGGGGCCCTGGGACACACAAATAAACACACACAAATAAAAAGATTCCCCATATTTTCCTATATGTTCTGGGTTTCTGTCTTCCCCCCCACATCCCATATTTTCGTGGGGATCGACAATTAATTGTGTCTGTGTGTTTCTTTCCCTCCTGAGACACGACGGGCCTCCCTGGGCGCCGGCCCTCTGCCTGCCCAGCTCCTCGCGCCGGCCCGCGGAGCCCCCGCACGAGGTCGGCGTGGGCCCGCGGAGCACCATGCAGCACAGCGCCACCGTCGGCCGTCTTCTCCCACCAGGTGGTCCTGTGATGGTCCACGTCGGCAGCGATCGCGTGGGCCAAGGTCTGTGCCTGAAAGCCAGGCTCCTCGACGCTGCCCCAGAAAGGGGACCGCTGATGGCCTCCGTGGGCTCCCGCAGAGGTCCCCGTCCCAAAGCCCCTCTGGGGAGCCTCTAAAGCCGCAGCGCTCTAAAGCCGTAGCGCACTCAAGGTAGAGCTGATACGGAGGCATACCCTCGCCGTCTTTCGAGGCCTGGCGAGGACCCAACTCCAGCGGCACGGGCCCGCAGGCCGCAGAAAGCACCCCTCCGAACCTGTCCGTTCGGACCAGCGGCCAGCCGGCGCGAGCCACTCCTGGAAGATTGGCAAGCACGGCCGAGCCGCCCGAGAAAGTGCAGCCCGAGAGCAGAGGCCCGAGGCAGGCCTCCCGATCCAGCGGCTCGCCTCCTGCGGCGCCCCTCTGGGCACATGCACGACGGGCGGAGGCAGCACGCCTCGAGCGAACCTCTCCCACACCCACCCCGACCCGCCCCCACCGCCACCCCCGCCGTGTCCACCGCCTGGCACTGGCCGTGCCGCGGCGGAGCCCATCCTTGGCCTCACGCCCGGACCGACGGTGCCAGGGAGGGCCCCACGGCGCAGCGCGACGGCAGAGAGGCGAGCGAGGGGGGGACGGCTGCAGCCCGTGCGCGTGCACTCCGAGCCGGAGGCCAGTGCGCCTTGCTCCTCGGACTCCTGCATGTTGGAGGCCTGGAAAGTGGCACCAAAGCAAAACAGGGGCTGCCTCCACAGGGGGAAGACGATCCTAGATTTCGGTGTTGGTGGTAACATCTCGGTCACCACCCTGAAAGCCAGAATATTACTACCATCGCCGAGATCGGGATCTTCTTCCCTCGGCGGAGGCACACCGCCGGTATTGGCGTTGGTGTCAACCTCTGGGCCTGCGAGAATTCACGCTGGCGGCGACCAGTCTAGACAGAGGCCCCTCCTGCGCTGGGGTCCCGAGGCCCCCGGCCAGAGCACCGGAACGACGGGGGCCTGGAAACCCCCGGTCGGTCCCTGGAAGTGAACCGATAGAAGAAATGATGCAGCTACAGCCCTAAGACTTTTACCAGCGAGCGCAGCGTGATCCACTGCTCCGTAGAAAAATCTTGGATTCGAACATGAATCCTCGAAGCTCTCACAACATTCGAAGAACGGAGCTCAGGTCACCTATGGGCCCCGTGCTGGCCCGAGGCTTGCCCGCCCGAGGACTGGAGGGCCCCCCGACACCGCACAGGCCCCCGAAGCTCCAGCGGGGCCACCTGCAACAAGTTCCGGGCCTCGCCGAGATCTGTGTATGCCAGGACAGTGAACACCCCAACAGTCCTATCATCGAACTAAAAGTCTGCTCAAAATGTCGGAAAATGTCCTGGACATGCTAAAACCTGTTTCTTTACATCGTTTAAAACAGCTTTGACACATGTTTTAGACATATGGAAATTATGTGGCAACATGTTTCCTCTCCATCGACTGTCCTCCACGAGCCTAGATCACTCACAATCTTCGTGATGCTGACAAACGTCCATCCGATGCGCGACAAGGACAGATACGCAACGCCAGCTCCCTTTCAAGGAGCCGTCAACCCAGCAGCTCTCGAGATGGCATGGGCCATCGCAGGCTCCAAGATGCATGGTTTGGGGAAACCCATCCCCAGGCCGCGGTGGCCCACTGCAGAAAATGATGTGCCCAGAGGAGGCAAAACAGATCACGGATGGCCTCAAGACGAAAGCAACGCAACCTGACTCCTAAGCTGGCGCCCTTGGGGTGGCGGCCAGCACTGTGGGCGGCAGCAAGGCGCAAGCCATGCACAGCTGCGGGAGGAACCCCAGACACGCTGCTGCCCCGCAGAGCCGAAGCGGTAGCACCCACTCTCTGTACAAGGACTGTGTCCGCCCCGGCCTCTCTCAACAACTGCCATTGGCGAGATCGAGCCCGCGCCGGCACGAAACGAACCATCGCTATACCGACACGATGAACGCCTCCGAGCGTAGCATCCGCAACCAAATTCCGATGGTGGTCGGCCCTACTTGAGGGCGGCAGGAACCACTGAGACGCACCCAGACTCTGAACGTCGGCCAGGCACAGGTACTTGGATTTCTTCATCACAGCTGGGAGCTATACTCGAACGAAGTCCTGGAGGAGAGACTCCACTCCTCCCGCCAGGGCCGACGCAACTTGAATAGGCATTTCGCAAGCCTTCAATGCAATGAAGTCCACGACGCTCCTGATATACAGCTGGGGCATCTCGTTTCTGCGACGCTAGAGGGAATCCAGGAGGAGGAGGAGGAGGAGGAGTTTCGACACCGCCGTAGCCCGAGCAGACCCCGAGATAACCGTCCCATTGAAATGCATCGAGGCTGGCACAGCCCCCCGTAGAGCAAAGTCCGATGACGCGGATATGTGCCGCACAGCCCCCTCAGGAATTCATGGAGAACCCGACCTGAGGGACAACCGCATACAAATCCCTGTGGACGACATGCCCGTGTAATTTTGACAAATCCCAAGGCACACTCCCCGACTCAAATCCAGCATCTCGACAGAAGTCCCCCAAGAGGTTGTGAATCCGGCCAGTCCACTTCGCACGTGTTGTGGCCCAGCTGGTATTACAACTCGTCCTGTCGCCCCCTGAGTCCTCGCAAATGTCCATACAATGTCTGCTAACTTGGACCCCGAAACAGTAAGATTGTGCGCTCTTGATGGGAAGCGTGTCGGTGCTAGCGACGTGGTGCAGTGCATGTGGCGCAAGCACTGTGGTGCAAGTTATGTAATGCAGCATCTGCGGTGCAAGCTATGTGGTGCAGGGCATTCGGTGCAGGCTAGGTGCGGCTAGGCGGTGCATTCCGAGAACGGCCCGCCAATACACGTGTGTAGCTGCTGCAAGCTCTGGCGACGAACGCGCGCGGCGCCAAGGCGACAACCACGTTGTGGCAGCGAGACCTCGTCCTCCTCCTCCTCCTCCTCCTCCTCCTCCTCCTCCTCCTCCTCCTCCTCCTCCTCCTCCTCCTCCTCCTCCTCCTCCTCCTGGATGATTGGTGGAACTCCCGAGAGCTACGGGATGGCAAAGCGTGCGGAAGTCTCAGGCGAGGCGCACAGCTCGCCATGCCGACCCACCTGCTGCTGCGGCGGGTCGGTACTGGTTACGAGGAAGACGGACGGGCAAGGAGGGAGAGGAGGAGGAGGAGGAGGAGGAGGAGGACAAGCACGACCAGGGAAGGGGAGGAGGGGGAAAAGGAGGGAGGAGTGAGGAGGAGGAGGAGGAGGAAGAGGAGGAGCAGGAGGAGGAGGAGTGAGGAGGAGGAGGTGGAGGAGTGAGTAGGAGAGAGGAGGAGGAGGAGGAGGAGGAGGAGGAGGAGGAGGGAGCAAGGAGCCGACGCGCGCTGCTGCAGTGCCAGGGCCTGACACTTGTCTCTCGAGCGCTGCGCTTCGAACAATTGTTTCTCGCATCGCTGCCACCAAGACGTGACGGCTGTAGCAAGCCAACGCTTGCCCGACGCGAAGACCAGAGGAACGAGGCACGGAATAAACACAAACCTGCGCCAGCCCGCGCGGATGTCTTGGATCTGCGCTGGACCCCCCCTCCCCGGCGTGCGGAGCGCGCCGGGGGCGGCGCTGGAGGCGCCGCCACGGGGGCCCAGCGCAGATCTGAGAAATCCGCGCGGACCTCCGAGCATGTATGTCTGTGCTGTCAGTTGTTCCTCAAGGGGGCAGGGAGGGAGGACGAAGGCGAGGACGAAGGGGGCGGCCGAGGGAGGACGAAGGGGGCGGACGAGGGAGGACGCAGGCGAGGACGCAGGCGAGGATGAAGGCGAGGACGAAGGCGAGGACGAAGGCGAGGACGAAGGCGAGGACGAAGGCGAGGACGAGGGAGGAAGCCAAAGGGGGAGGAGGCGAGAACGAAGGGGGGTGCAGCAGGACGGCGGCGGGGCGAGAGGAGAGCACAGGGGCGAGGGGGGGGGCCCAGAGGGGGGGCCTTTCGCCTGCGCGCGCCGACCCCCGGGAACAAGAGAGCGCAGTGGGTTCTCACTCGCGGCCACCGCGGGCGCGTCCGGGGAGGACGAGGCGCTCGTTCCGCGGACGCTCCCGGGGCCCCTCGCTCCCCTCGTGCGTCCAGGCCGCGTCGAGCCAGGCGGCTGGCGAGGGGGGGAACCTGAGGAGGAGGAGGCCTTCTCGGAGGGCGGCGGGACTTCTCGGGAGCCCTCGCGCCTTCTGAGAAGTTTTGTTGTGTCTTCGGGGAAGACTCAGAAAACTGCCCAGAAGGCCGGGGGACTTCCGAGCCTTCTGAGAGGGCTGGCCCCTTCTCACTTCCCCCCCTCGCTCGCCGCCGACGATTGTCCGTCGACATGAGTCGAACTTGGGTCGAGCTCGAGCCGACCTTGAGTCGAGCTGGGGTCAAAGTAGAGCCAAACCAGAGCTGACCAGGGCCGTCGAGTGGGCCCCAAGAAGAGCGCGCATTTTTTCACCCGCGGCCGTAACGGGCGCTATGCGGGGGGGGGAGGGGAGGGGGGGCGGGAGGGGGGCACCACGTAGCGACCCCCCCCCCCCCAGACCGTGGTGCCAGACGCACTGTGGCAGTGCCGGGGGACGCACCCCACCAGAACACCTAAAAGAACGCCCACGGCCGATTCTAAAACGTCCAGGCAAACATCCGTCCTCGATCTCCGAACGCGATCACGACGCTAGCTGCACTCGGTATTGGAGCCCGTTGCAGCGCTCACCGAGGGCCAGGTCCCAGCCCCGCGCGCGTTTTGCATCCGAGGGCCGCCTGCGTGTAGGGGTGCACGGAGTCACCGAAGACGCTCCTGAGGGTCCTTGGGGCGGCAGGAGAAGGAGAAAGGGGAGGAGACGGAAGAGGAGGAGGAGTTTTACCCCCTCGTCGAGCAGGCCGACCAGAAGGAGACCGCCCAGGAGAAGGCTGAGATCTGTCGCGATATGTGCAACGGAGAGCCACTCAGAGGACCTAATCCTCCACGGACCACGCCCAGTTGTCACAGGTGTGGGGCCCCACGAGAGAACCCTGCCCAACCGTCGCTGGAGCTGGCCCGCTCTTGCCGAGACCCCAGGTTTCAGGGCTGACGCTTGGGACGCAGCAGGACATGCTGGCACCAGCCATGCGACCCCCGTCCGAGGCGCACGTCCGAACCGCACGCACGCACGCACGCACGCACGCACGCACGCACGCACGCACACACACACACACACACACACACACACACACACACACACACACACACACAC